GATGTAATGTAGTTTTGATAAAGTTTTTCTTTTTTGCATTCTCTCCCACATGGTCTCAGTGCTGCTTGCTAGGTTAATCTAAGGCCATGTAGAGATGCCATATTTTTCACACACAATAAAGTGATTGGATGGGAATTGGCACATAGCGACAGACTAGGGCTGCCATGGCTTTGCCCCCACCTCCCAAATAGCTCAACAAATTTTGCGCCTGGATTTTCACTTTTTCAAATATGGCAATCCACTACAGACACCCTGTTTTGAAAACCTGCTAGGTGCATTAATGAGAAACACTTGTCAGATTTGGACGGCCCATTTTCTTCACGGTGGGCTGCACCAGCTCCTGTTCCACATGATTAATCGTTAATTGCTTTGCACTCTTCGGAAATTCAACTACCGCTCTTTTGTAGTGTGAGAGATGTCGTGTGCTCCCCCCCCCCCCAAAAAAGAGATCTGGCATGCTAAGCTTCTCTATGGCCAAGATGGGACAAAGAAATGCCCTGTTAAAACCCACCATGGGGAAAAGGAATTCAGGTAGCTGAAAGGAAATGGATGGCATTTCTGAGCATGATCATTTAAAACGGTGGTTTCCCATGTGACCATAAATTCAGCAAACACACCACTTCCACCTTCGTATCACTTGTGAAAGACAGCACCAGTATATAGAATCGGCCGAGTCCGAGTTGTTGTCATGATGGTAATGGTAGCATATTGCCAACCTTAATTTCCAGAATTCCTGACATGATCAATCCTCACCAAATGGTATCTGCATCCCCCCCCCCCCCCGCTTGCAATTATTATGGTCCATAGGAGAAGTTTTCCAATGAGAACTGGTGGAAAAGGCATCACATTCACAAATGGTTCACCTGCCGTGAGTCCTGCAAAAGAGGTTGCCTGCCGACAGTGATGCTCAGGTGACCTCATGATCTAGGCTTGCTTCAGATTTTTACAGCATGGATGATGACATCGTCAGAGGAGCTGGCATGGGCCTGCCATATTCCTGCATTGCAGGGGTTTGAACTATATGATCCACAGGGTCCCTTCCAACTCTACAATTCTACAATTCTATGGTTCTATGTCCTTGAACCATTTACAGAAATCAGGGATGGACCACAGCTCAGTGGCAGAGCACACGTTCTTCCTGCAGAGGTTGAAAATCCTGGCCATTTCCAGTTAAAGGAATTAGGTAGCAGGAGAGATCCTGGAGAGCAGCTGCCAGTCAGAGTTGTCAGTACTGAGTTAGATAGCCCTAGTAATAAGGAAGCATTCTATGTTCCTAAAGGTGTTCCGTGTAAAGGCCTGTTATGTAGAATGACTTGATTCACATGACTTATTCCCTTAAAAAGTGTGGGGAGGGAGTGCATACAGCCGCAATGCACATGAGGTTCTGCAAAAAAAAGATGCTCACTCTGCATGTTACATGATGTATGCAGTGCAAGAGCATCTGCCCTCATCGCACCAAATGCATTGCCTCACCAGTCCATCCAGCATCTGAAGCGAGCCTTACTCCTCTGCAAGACGGTAAATGAATACCGTTCTCTTCCTACCAATGGTCCTGCGAATGTGCCCCACAACATACACAGGTAGTAAAAGGGGGGAAACATATCAATGGACTTTCCACTGATTTCAAAATGCTTGGCAGATGTGGACAAACTGAGCCTCACGTAGTCTTCCGTGGCAAGGTACAATTAACCCCATTTTACAGATGGGGAAACAGAAGCATGAGGGGCCCTGGATATACCAAGCTGGCTATTTTACCGGTGATGTGAAATTTCAGTGCCACTCAAACAGAGTGCCAATTTTTTTGCTGATCTTCCATGGATTAGGATACATCCTTTGCTGTGTGCCGGGTTTTGTAATATTAGGAGGAGCAGAAAAGTAGGAGGAGCTCCACTTCAGTTTGTCAAGGGTACCAAGCCGTGTCTCACTGGAGTTATCTCTCCTAAATATTGTTAATAGATTGTTCGGTCTTCCAAAATATTGCACTGCACTCCTTTTGCACAATATATGCTTGCCCTAGACACTGATCATAAATGATGGAGATTCTGGATGCATTGAAATCACATTTAAACCAATGGAACCTAAGATCACTCTTGTGTGCTCCAATACCATAGAGCGCAATGGGATTCAGAGCTGGCCTGCACTCCATGGAGGAATATCTGGCTGCTGTATTGTGGTTTTCCCTACAAGGATTGTGAAGGGGAGAAGCATAACTCTGAAACACAGATCATGCTTCTCAGGGCATGTTCATGGGGTGTCCGTCCTAGTGGTGTAGACTCACATTTCCCTTTGGCATGTGACCTGTTCCCTACAGAGCCAGTACTGGCATAAATGCAGTAAACATGTCTGCTATCATAAAGTAATGAAATGTGACAGGGCTGCATTCACATGACAGTTTATCTCATTTTCACGTTTGCCTAACTGTTCATTTCTGCATGATAGGCATCTCTCCGTTTTCACACGTTCAAGGCATGCCCGACTGTGCAGGTGCACATCACCACAAACCCGGAAGTGGCACAAAAAGGAGCAAAAACAACCCTCAAAGAAGATCCAGCAATCCTACGAGCCTTTGCAAGTGCAATTCCATGGCAACAGCCTTTGGAGAGCATACCCTCCCACATTTCTCCAATGAAAATAGGGACGTCCCATTCCCTAATTTATACCCTACACATCTTACTGGGTTACCCCCAGCCACTCTGGGCAGCTTCCAACATATATAGGTAAAAGGTAAAGGGGCCCCTGACCATTAGGTCCAGTCGTGGCCGACTCTGGGGTTGTGGCCCTCATCTCGCTTTATTGGCTGAGGGAGCCGGCGTACAGCTTCTGGGTCATGTGAACCAGAGCAGCGCATGGAAACACCGTTTACCTTCCCACCGGAGTGGTACCTATTTATCTACTTGCACTTTGACGTGCTTTCGAACTGCTAGGTTGGCAGGAGCAGGGACCGAGCAACAGGAGCTCACCCCGTCGCAGGGATTCGAACCACCAACCTTCTGATCGGCAAGTCCTAGGCTCTGTGGTTTAACCCACAGCGCCACCCGCGTCCTCCAACATATATAAAAATATAACGAAACATTGAACATCTTTTTAAAAGCCTTCCCTATACAGGGCTGCCTTCAGACGGCTCAGAGGTTGGATAACTCCATACCGTCCACCATTTCTCCAATGAAAATAGGGACGTGCTACGGAAAAGTGGGGCATTCTGGGATCAAATCAGAAACCAGGATAGCTTCTCTAGATTAGGGACATCCTTGGAAAATAGGGACACTTGGGGGGTTTGGGAGAGTTGGGAGTTTGAGCAAGGATGTTTGGAGGGAGTGATTGTGGTGCTTGCAGGCTTTTTCAATGGTGTCCCAAAGATGTGGGATTTCACTCGGAACGTAAATGGAGAGTTGCCTGAATACTTGAGCTTTCACACAGTACAAAAGCCACCTCCAGAACTGTAGTGGAACATAATGGGATTGTAGTGAAGCATAGCACAATTTAGCACTCATTTCCATATTATATACGACCTGGGAGCAAATAATATGGAACCTTGCGCTATAATTTCGTAATAGTTCCAGAAGTAGCTTTCACCTTGCGTGAAAGCTCAAATACAATGCGGAGCTTAACAGTTAGGGGAAAGTTCTGAAAATGGAATAAAGTAATTTATATGTGACAACGGCAGCCAGAATGTTATACGCACAAAAATGGAAAGGAGAGACATTTCCAACGAAGGAGGAATGACTTTAAAAAGTAATGGACTATATGAGGTAACGGCAAAGCTGACAGCAATATTAAGAGATCAAAACGAGGATTTTTTTAAAATAGAAGAATGGAGGTCTTTGGGGGATCATTTGAGGGGGAAAAACACTGCAAATGAAATCGCTGCAGGATTTGAGATTGGATTAGCAGAATAAAAATGATGAAGCAATTGTATTAGAGGGATTTCTGTAGTAGATAAGGGTTTGATATTTAATGCATCGGGGAAAAGGTTTGGATAAATACATTTTGGAGGTGTGGGTGAGAAGTCCATACGTGAACAATGTCAATATTTAATTTGAAGTCAATTTGCAAAAAAAAATTGGAAATTTAATTAAAATATATATTATTTTTTAAAAAAGAAAATGGAATAAAGTGCCATGTGAATGCAGCCTTGGTCACTTAAAAATCCTGTTTAAATTAATGGAATTTAAGGAGTCAGAAACCCACCAAGTTTCAGTTATCAAAAAGGGCAGTAAGAGCTGTTCCACAGCGAAACGGACTCCTTCAGAAGTTGCTGGGATTTCCTTCATTTGAGGTTTTTAAACAAAGGTTGGGTAAACATCCGTCAGGTATTCTTTAGCTCTGATTCCTATATTGCACAGGGTTGGACTAAAAGACCCTCAGGGTTCTTTTTTTAAAAAAGGATATAGCAAAGGAAATTTGGATGAACAGAATGAATTACAGTGATGCCGGCAAACTGGAAAACCGACGTACAGAAAGACAGGATGGGAGGGTGGAATATTCCACAGACATACAGACACATATATATATATTGAAAAGGGCATTGCTCTGTAACCTAGTGTTTGGTTTTGCTCTGCTTACAAAAATGTAGCATGTGCCACTGTTAGGATATCTTTTTGTGCCCAGAGTTGACCCGGCCCTCGGTATACCGAAGAACATCCATTTTTGCTATGGGTTGTTTTTGTTTTGTTTTTGTTATTTAAAATCACAGAAGAAATTATCTGTACCATTTATAGTGTAAAGTCATGCACAACCATTGCTCAAAACTAAACCGCTTAGTTTTGGCAGCATGAAGAAAACCGCATTAAGCCGACCGTATGAAATGGTGCAGGATGACTACCACTAATACCAGCATGCATTGCAGCCATTGGTGAATTTGTGTGTGTGTGTGTTGGTTTATGAGCTAGGAAGCTTTGGGTGTGTATAGTGAGATATACAAAGTTTATGTTTACATTACGAGAAGAAGAAGCCAGCCAGTGACTCCAACCCCACCCCAACCCACCCCCACTGGATAATTTTTAAACTGGCTTGCTCGGAGTCCATACTGAATCAGAGAAGCCCTCCCCTGTAGAAGAAAGAGGCATGGAACCACTTGGGGTAAAAGGGTCAGTATCCGTGTCCGTTTCGCCCTCGGCCAAGTAGCGCTTCTCCTTCATCCAGCTTGAGCCCCCGTTCGACCCGAAAAGGAAGTCGTCCTTGTCTTGGGAGATGCTGAACCCGCTTGGCGATCGTTCAAGTTCCTCATGGTTGACAGAGAGGAGGGATAAGGGAGTGTCGCTGTCTCTCGTCAGGCTATGTTTCTGCCTGGAAGAGATTCTGTCTGAGTGGGGGCTCTGGAGGTCTCCTGGTGGGGAACGGTAGGAAACGTGGGGGTCAATGAAGGTGAGTATAGGCAAAACCGTCGGCCTTTCAGCGTACGAAGTTGAGAACGGCATGGCCTGCCACCTACCGGAGTTCTGACCGCCCAACGGCAACGAGAGCGGGCCAACGTCGCAGCCCTGCGTCGAGAAGCCAAAAGGGGGGACTTTGTTCACCGGTACATGGTGGAAACTCGGAGGCATTTCATGAATAGAAGGCTCAGAATATTTGTAAATGATGGACTTCAGTTCAGAATATCTGTTATCCTCTGCTGCGGACACAGTTTCTTTTGAAGGGCACACTTGGACTTGGAGATGCTCCATATGCTGCATGTGCATATCGACCAAAAAATCCAATTTCTTCCCCATGTCATGGACCTGAAAGAGAAGAGCCCATCAGACTGGAGGACAATGAGCAATTGGCCATCCAATCACATGCGGCAAGGAACCATTGTTCTTTCTAGCTCATCATGGTCTCCACCAAGGACCATGGAAACCTGTGACCCTGCAGATTTTGTTGGAACTCCACTTCCCATCAGCCTCAGTCAGCATGGCCAACAGTCAGGGGTGATGGGAGTTGTAGTCCAGCAACTTCTAGACCAGGGGTGGGGAACCATTGGCCACCCGATCTTGCTCAACTACAACTCCCATCAGTGCCAGCAAGCATGGCCAATGACCAGGGATGATAGGAGTTGTAATTCAGCTCCCCACACTTGATCTACAGGGCCAGACTAGCCACAGTCTACACTGACTTGAAGCCACTCTCTATGGTTTTAAACAGGATGATTTCACAGAATCAGCTAAAACATGTGCTCCACCGCAGAAGATAAGCCCTTTCCCCCAGAGTTTTCATGTTAGGCTGTGATGGAGAGAGGAGCTTTCACCTACGTTTCTACATCTTCTCTTGGAGCAAGTTTGTACCAAGAGCTTGTTTACATGTCCCCTTATCAATAGCTCGCTTTAGCCATTTGGAATCTGTAAGCATGTTCAATCAGGAGGGTGGTATTTCATGTATGGCAGAGGGAAGCAATTTTTGCTTTCGAGTGCTGGACTAAGAGTGCATCTGGAAAGCAGCGCGTCACTGGGGCCAGATGCAAACTCAACACGAACTTCAAGGAAGTCTGGAGTCTCCACCTAAGCCTTTCCACATCTTCTGCAGCCAACTGTAGCAAAAAAGATGGTCACCAGTACAAAATATATATACAAAATCTCATCATTATAGCCATGTTACACATATATATATTGCTATAGGCATGTTATATGTTATAAGTGGATGTTATAGGGAAGACTTGGGAAGAGCTGAGAATTCCTTACCTGTCTTTCAACTCTGACAAATTTGCCCATCATACTTTGGTCTTCAGGATCTACTGTCGATGCTTTGGCTACATACGGATCATTCCTAAAAGCAAAGAAGGCTCTAGTTTAGGCAAAACGTTTGCTGTTGTTTTCACTCATATTTCCACTTCTTCTGGGCCCAAGGGATTAAGTGCCTCCCACACTACCTCACCAGTCTTATGTGGCATGGTGGAAGGCCATTGGATGAAGGAGAAGTGGCCTTCTCCAGGCCAGGGGATTGGCCCTTTAAGCACCTGAGGTTCTCCAACAAAGGAGGCAGAACACAGGAGAGAAGGACTGGGGTCAAAAGGCTCCAAGACCCCATCAGAGCATGCTGCTCAGCAGGAGCTGTCCGTGGTGCTTTGACAACTGATCTGCTTGACAGTGCATTCTGTAGGTGCTTCCTTGGCCCCAGGGCAAGAGCAGCACAGAAACCTGAATGAGTTGCATGTGGTTTTTGGACTGAGCGGTGCTGAGGCTGCTGAGAGGTTGTGTGCATCCCTCATGCCCAACTAATGCTTACCATGTCCTCCTTTGAAGAAGCACAGAATGGCCAACTCAATGATTCCCAAATAGTGTGGCAGGAGGCACTATGATAGAATGATGAAGGTGCTACAAGATGTTATATAATGAAGTGCTCCTGTGAACCAAAAGGCCCATCCACAAATGAGGCTGATCAATGCACCTCTGTACGACTTACTGTTCTAGCTTTGCCTATCCCCTTTCAATCAGCCTCTGTTAATAGTTCGTAAGTCTGTTGTGTCTTTCTAAGGATGTGCAAACATTCTTTCACTTCTGCCTTCCAGAGGAGGTGGGGTTGCCGGCTTCACGCTCCCAGCCCCCGCGTGATTGGGGGAATCCCCAGCCACATCACCCCCTGGCCAGCCAATCGGCTGGCTCTGGGGGCATGGCCTGACCTATTTAATGGGGGCGCGGCCGGGGATCTCCCTCTTTTGCCACCTCCAGCTCCAGAAATGGTCAGGTTTTGCAAGGGTTCACTTAAGAGTTTTGGTGGTTGTGGTTTTTGTAAAATCTACAGCAGGGATGGGCAACACTGGCTCTCTAGGTGTTTTTGGACAGTCATCTATTCTCAACAAGCTGTGCACAGTGGAATTTCACCTTGGAGACTGCTGCGAAGGATAAGGGAAGGCTCCTCCTTTCTGGGATTTCTTATGCTTGGGAGTGGACGGAGGTCCAGGTGCAAAAATCATATCTATTCTGAAAGAAGACAATAAGAGGACATAATGAAACAGGTGTGATTCGTTAATTGTTGGCCCGCGGCCCCAGTTACATTCTAGGATCAAAAGGTGTGCTATAAATCTTCCAAATACATCAATAGCTTTAGCTCCCATTTGGTTATGGGGTTCTTTTGAGGGGTGTGTGGCGATCACACAGGGTCCCCAGAGGTTTAACGGTCTATTGATCCCTATACCACCACTGTGCTTGCTTCCCCGCTGCCACCAACCAGTTACTCTCTGGTAAAACACTGTGTCCAGACAGTTGTTAAAAGTGAACAAAAAAACCCCAACAAGTTTATTTTACAGACATTAACAAGCTTATGGTTTGTCCGATAATATTCCTGTCAGTATCTCAACTTTAGTTTCTTTACTGCATGGTGACATGATGTATGTGGGAATTTATGTGCATATACCTCTGCCTTCCTCCCTTGCCAGACAGAGGACGGGTGAGTTTAAGCACCTTCCAAAATGTGGGCAGGGTTTTCTGTACAAAGTGGTAACTTCTGAATATCTCCTACAGCCATCACTGGTGCATGGGTTGGCAACCCCAAAGAGTCTTCTAATCCATACTGTGAAATTCTGGGCCAGTCCTTGCCAGCTGAACATCTTTACACCTTTAGCACACTGCTGGCAGCAGAGCCACTTACCTCGCTTGAAGGTATTTGATCCTGGTAAGCATGTCAAGGTGTCCTGCTGAATATTGCTCTATCACATCCTTTACATCATAAGGCCTCAAGGTCTCCTTGAATCGCTTCTTATAGAGGCGGAACTGTAGTATTCTGGTAGAAGGAGAGAATGTTTATCGCTGGGGTTTCCCTTGGCTAGTTCCCGCCATTCTCATAGAGGAAGGGATTGCATATGTATCTGTGTTTAAATATCAGCCTTGCTTATTAGACTGCTGCGCTAACCATAGTTCAGCCTTTGCCACGCTGGCTCACCTCCAGCGCCCATCAGCCCCACTCAACGTGACCAATTGGCATACATAGCAGGAGGTATAGCCAATAACATCTGCTCTAACTAGCTAACGGGCTGCTCTAGGTAGCTACAATTGGAAATAAAACTGTCAATATCATAATGCCGTTATTAAAAAATAGTGCTGTTATTCTAAACAAAAAACTAAGGTGAAGCAGCACTTCCCAAAACAACTTGCAAACCGAAACACAGCCACTCACTGAGATTTGCACTTCTCTGAATTTTGCAATGCTTTTCGCCAGCTCTAAATGCACCTTGAGATTGGGAAAACAAGAAAAACTAAGTTTTCCCCTAGTTGCAGTCATCTCAAAGGTCGGGTTTACAGGGGCCAATATTTTAAACTGAGGCAAAAGAGGACAACAAGCACAGACTTTACCTGACAGCTCGGATGACCACTTTCAGCGTGGGGATCATGTCTTCAATGAGGAGCTCATTGCTGTACCCTCTGTCTTCTGCCAGAGGATCCCCAGTTCCAGCATCTAAAAGGTGAGTGAAGAATCCACATGAAGGAAGGGCAGATGCAGAAGAGTTCAGAGCAAAGTGGAGCTGCTCCTACAGTACCAGCTAAATTCTCGTATTATTGGGTTGTATCCATTGAAAATGTCCCAGTAGCACAAGACTTCTGCATGCACAATGAAAAATTCCATTATTCTCTCCCCATGCTCCCCTATCCAAAAAATATGCTTTGGAGGACTGGTGGAACCCCCAGACCAGACCAGATCTGGGGTGCCCACAGGAGGAGAGGAAGATGATATTCCTTTGTACAAGTGGAAGTCTTTGTGCAAACCCATAGTTACCACCCATCAAAAACCGTGGCTCCCAAATGTTATACAGGCCAACAATGTAGAAGTCAGAAACTAGTTCTCTTGAAATGAACAGTTCACCATGCATTCTTCTTTAGCTAAAACAAAACAAAACAAAACAAAACCCTACTCTTTTGACACTTGTTAATTAGCTATGTTGCCTGAATAAAACCATGCTTAAAGTATTAGTCCCAATTAAGTTGTTGTTGTTGTTGTTGTTGTTGTTGTTGTTGTTTATTGGATTTATATTCCGCCCTGTACCCGGGGGGCTCAGGGCAGTTCACATAATAAAATCAAGATATAAAACCACAAAATACCTAACGAAAATAAAAACAACAACCTGATAGCCCCGAGGACACAACCTAATGTGTGGCTGAGCAGGATTTCTGACACACATTAACATTCTTCGTATTACCTGGCAGTATTTACATGACTTAACCTGGGAGCAAAAGAAAACACCTCAAGGGCCAAACCATATGTGTACCAAATTCACAAGGTAGAATTGATGTTGGCCACTACTACTCCAAAATACAGGGGGGCGGGTTGACCTGAATGTGCACATTACTTCTCATTTCTTTTTCTCTGTCTTCAGGGCAAATATTGAACAGTGTTGTGTACGCCTTTCCTGACACTCTTGAAAATGTGTGTGTGAACTGAGCTATGGATTCCCTGAAAAATGCGAAAGTTCATAATGCAATGTCTTAAGAGTCTTAAGAGTCAAGGAAGGTACTGTTTTGTGAGGTGTGTTTTCTCATAGTTTAAAATGGTTGTGTGGGTCGAACTAGTTTTTAAAACCTGAAATAACAGAATCGTGTCCTGAATGTGTGCACCAAATTTCATTCCAAGATCTAAATATTCAACAAAGTGATAATAAGCAAACAAACAGGGCTTGTGATCGAACTTTGTTCGGATAACAAGAAGTAAGATTTTGCTGTTTTGAAAATGTCCTCCTAATTGAAAATTCAGCAGGGTGTGTGTGTGTGTGTGTGTGTGTGTGAGAGAGAGAGAGAGAGAGAGAGAGAGAGAGAGAGAGAGAGAGACTCAGCTGAAAATTCAGAGCTTTTCCAGAATATACATTTGTGCAACATTCAATTTCAACTCCAGCCAAAGGGACTCAGAAAATGGAGAGAGTGATCGGTGAAATAGCCCGGGAAAATTGAAACAGAAATCAATGTGAACCTTTTACCTTCGGAGCTTTGCCAGAATGCATAAGCTTTCATTCGGAATGCAGTGCGAAAACGCTCCCTATTATTCAAGGCAACAGTCTTAGGTTCTTTAGAAGGACTTTCTTCAATTGCATCTACATTCAGAGGGGTAAATAGCTTTCCTTTAGTATTGGTACCACGAACCCGATCCAAGAGACCCAGCTTTTGGCTAAAAAAATAAGGAAAAGGGATCATTTTCCCCCTCACTCTCACACAGACCTGCATTTCAAGGCGCTCCTAATGCATTACATCCCAAGCAAACATATGCATGAAGGATACTATTAAGGACCACATGGCAGCTGACTGTATAAACCCACAAATCAATGTTTTCATAGGTCTTCAAATAAAATGCCATCAATGGACCACCCAACATCACACTCACCCTACTGAAGAATTAATCACACATATTTATTGGCTGAACTTGCACCGCTAGTATTTTCTTTGAACAAATGAATCGTGGTGCGTTTCAGCAAGGATTCCTGCATACAATGACACTCGATTTGCTAAGCAATCCCACTAGGTTACCCCACCAGGGTTAAATGAATCCACCGGTTGGAAGTTTTGATCTGCCATACATAATGTGATTCCAGTCCACCAACATTAACAAATTCAGTCACTCAGCACCCCCGTGTGGCACTGGGAAGGCATTTCTGAAGAATGCTGCGGGAAGGACAAAATTCCAGTTTGTCAATCAAAATGCATGAGCAGTGAGGATGCTGTCGAATGGTGAGCCAACTGTAATTTGCAGTGGAATGTGTAACTTCTGGACAAAGCAGCAATTGTTCTCAAAACTCGGGGATTCTGGGATGGAACTGAAAACTGCATGAGCTGAAGCTGACTTAGCTGACTAAGTCTGGGAGCCTCATTTGGATGCAGAAGAGAGGGAAGAGGGGTGTTTTTCTTTGATGGGTTGGCAGCTTGAAGCTTCTGGATTGACTAGGAGGCCTGGTATAAATACTAGGAGCCTGGCCAATAGAGGAGAATATTCTGTCCATTCTGGAAGGTACTTGAGACATCCCCAGTAATGGACAACATAGGCTGGAAAATGGCCATCTCAGTTGTAGACAGGGCCAGCCCTGCCGTTAGGCCAAGTGAGGAGACAGCCTGAGATCGCAGGTGTTGTGAAGCAGCAGTAGCCCTTGGCTGCGTCTCCTGAGCCCCATTCCCCTCTGTGGGAGAACAGAATTGTGTCCTACAAGCAGCGGCAGAGGAAGCCGCTCAGGTGCCTAGGACAGCACGCCCAGGAATAGGGTGAGCTGGCTATAGGGGCGAGGGTGGGGCAAGCCGCCCATAGGGGTGGGCCACACTGCGGGACCTCCAGAGTCTGCCTGCCTCCTCCCACTCAGCTGGGGGTGGCAGTGGGTGGACCTTTTGGGCAGCACAGAACCTGCGTGTGCCTGAGCCACCGCGTCTCTCCCAGGCCCTGTGGTGAGTGCCACCCAGCATTTTGTCACCCCCTCAGTAGTGACAACCGGGGTGGCCTGCACCTATCGCACCCCCTTCCTCTGCCCCTGCCTACAAGGCCCCCTAAACCGGCCTGCTGCCTCTGTAGATGACATTGCTCTATCACCAGTATTCAATGAAGCAGGTCACACCTACATTTAAAGCATTCCTATACCACTTTGTCATGGCTTCCCCCAAATAATCTTGGAAACTGTAGCTTACCCCTCAATGAAGCTGCAATTCCCAGCACCTTTAGCAGGCTAGTTCCCAGGGTTGTTTGGGGTGAAGCATGACTAAGTGGTCTATGACTGCCTCAGGTGCATGGCAAGAATTTGACCCCAGTCCAGTCATTTTGGGGCAGCAAAAGGTCTTGGGCTGGTCCTGGGCCTAGATTTGTATATGTGGTTGGATCCGGGGGGCTTCAATAAGTCCAAATGTGCCGTATTAGGTCTCTGCACACATGCGGCCAATGCTTCCAGTGTGTGTCATTCTCCACAATTGTTTGCAGTGGGGTGTGTTGCAAATTTGTACGGAACATTTGAGTGGCCTAAGTGACATTTCCAGACGGTACTTGCCTTTCCCACATGCCCACTGCAAGGCCTGGTAATAATCTGCATGGGATTCTAGAAGGCAATTTGGGAGGTCTACTGAAATTGGTTCAGTGGGATGGTTCAGCTTCAGCAGACCCTGTGGTTCCACCATAAACACACAAGCTATGATTCAGAGCATTCATCCTGTTTTAGGCTCATACAACCACTGTACTGGATCTGGGATTGTTAATTTGGACGTCAAGACAATAGTTTTGACTCTTGAGGATTATGTGATCCTCTCTCGTGATCACTGTGCAAATGGATGCTGTACATGGAGTCCTGCAGCATGGAAAATTCCAAACCGGACTCTAATTCCACCATGTTTTTCTGCAAACAAGGTTTTTACAACTGGGCAAATGTGTGATGACACTGGAGTCAATCATGGGTCTTAGACATGTTCAAGGCAACTCAGTTGACCACGGACCAGGTAGTAATTGGAAAAAAGGAATATGTGCAACAGTCTGCCCCCAAAAGGTAGAAAACATAATGCATGAACAAAATAGGGTTTTGAACAATATGGTTGTGCCATCATGTCAGAAAGCCAATGGAAGAAAATCAGCAATATATGAATGGTGCAGAGCAAATGCAGAGAAGAGACATCGATTCACACAACTCCATTCAAATAAACAGTGTGGATGTGCCACTTCTGAGGTGTTTCAGTCCTAGATGCCCCAGATCCTAAATAGACAGATAATCAATTGTAGGCACGCATTAAGCATGGTCTGCATTAACAATTTCAGATATTTCAATAATAATGACAACAATACTTGGCAATGATATAGCATTTGGAATATCCCCAGTGCTGGCACCAGGCTATTTTGTGGCCCAGGCAAAGCTATTTTGCATCCTAGGTAAGGTTAAATACTTGCACCTACCCCCAATATATATATATGCTAAATTCAATTTTCAAAAACAGATGTCTTGTGGAAATGGTAAAATTCTTCAAAATATAAAATAAAAGTAAAATATTATCAGGAATGTATATTTTAAAAAATAAACTGTATAAAATTGTGCCCCTCAAAGGTCAGGAATGCACCCCTCTGAGGTCTGTGCCCTAGACGGCTGCCTAGTTGCCATCAAAACCCAACCCACAGGTCATTTCCAGTAAACTGTAGAGCAATCCTGTAAAATGGCACAATATCATTATCCCTAATAATGCTAGCAGAGGCTAAGGTGAGAGAAGTGGGTTCACCAGTTAGTGTGCACAAAAATGATGCAGGGCAGGGGACAGTGAAATGAAGAGCACAGCGTCACCAGGCCATGGGCGTGTTTTGCCACACAATACTAAAGATGAGCTCAATTTTTTAGCATTGACTGTGCTCACCACAATGTCTGTACTGCTCTTAGCCATTATATGAGATCAGGAGTAGCCATCATGGTGCCCTGCAGAGGTTGTTGGACTCCAGCTCCCATCAGCCCTAGCCAACATGGCCGACGGTCAGGGATGATGGGAGCTATAGTCCTGCGGCATCGAGAGGGCAACACATTGACTACCCCTCCACTAGATCATCTCTTGTACAGCAGCCAGAATCAGACGTAATGGCAAACACTCATTTGTGATGACATGAATGACCATGCCATGTAACACCCTTGTCCTTAGTGCACAGGAGGGAACTGGGTTTCCACTTTCATTTTTGAACTTACTACGGTTCCCTGTTACACATGTACACATGGAACTGTGGTTTGTTTTAACTGTGGTTACTTAACTATGTTCTGACCTCAACCCACATTGGGCTGGGTGTTCCTCCAGCCAGATAAGCTTATATCCATGCCACACTTTCATGTAAACCACCCTTGAACTTGAACACAGCTTGAACAGCAAATGTAAATGCAGGTGATAAAAATACTTAGCTGTAGAAGTATTGATGGATGGTTAAATCTGAATGACATAGAGACTCTATGGATAAGATGAAAAGACAATGCTAGACTAGGACCTCCAGGTCAACTCGAAGAGAATAGAGCCAGAGTCGAGGGAGTCTTATTCTGAGAAGAACTGGCCTAAACAGAATTAGTTATCTTATATAGGAACAACCAGTCAACGCATGCTAATAGATATTCAGGCTTGTTAAATTGTGAACAGATTAACCCAGAGAAAATTAAAACAGTTGTAAATACAGGGACCAGGGGGAAATAGAACAAATAGCACAATGTCCAAATGGGGCAGGACAAGTTATCAAACTATATAGTTTGATATCCTCATTTGTTTAAACTAATCACAATTAAAGCATACCACAGTTTCCCGAGTTTGGACATAACAAGGAACTGTGGCAGATTCAAAGTGAAAGCAGAATCTCATGTGCACAAAGGAGGGTGTGCAGGTTAGCTGAAGGGTTGTGCAGACTTCCTCTCATAATGACAAGCCATGATCCAGCCTTTACTTAAGTTCTTTAGAATAAACATTGCCAGGTCTATCAACGGAAGCTTCTCCACAAAGCATTTGAATATTATTGAATATCTGAAAGTTAATGGGAAGGATAGCGGAGGTCAAACTTTTGCCTCCAGTGTGTAAGCAGAACGGAACTTGAATAAGCCTTTGGAACCACTCATGCAACAGCTGAAAGCAATTCCTTCTCAGCATGCAAACCAAACACTCCCCTGTTCATTGTCTGATTCTGCAGTTCATAACCAAATAATTAAATAACAAATGGCAGAGCAAAGCATGCCTCTTCCTCCATATATCAGCCCCCCTTTTTTTTTTTTGCAGGAGGAGGGGTAAAAGACCAATAAAAACTGAACAAAAATATAGCAGTTATATTCTTAGATTTTGCAGCCTTAACACTGTAAACACAAGACAACCATGCTTGCTCTGATTTTTACTACATTAGAAAGATGTATGTATCAACATGGCTGAACTCAGCTTCACCAAGCTGCGTATTGTTTGGTAGTGATATCAAAAACACGTAAGACGGACTTACACAATGCTCTGGAAGCCCAGGAGAACCTCTAAGGCAAGTGTGGGGAACTTGTGGCCCCCTGATGCTTTTTAACCCCAGCTCCCACCAACCTCAGATGGCGTGGCCAATGGTGAAGCATGATGGGAGTTGTCATCCAACAACGTCTGCATCCCTGACTCCAAAGAAACCATGCCTCAAAGTAACACAACTCAACATCTGAAGGTCTGTTTGCCTGCTCTTTCTGAACTGCTTTGCTGGAAAGGGTGGAAAGAGGTGACAATGGCAGAAGACAATGGACTGAATTTGGCAGATCTGTAACACTACCCAGGAAAGAAATCAAGGAGAAGCCCATTCCACTTAGAATTTGCAAATTGGGATTTGCACCCACAAGGCTTTCTCATGGTGTGGAATGAAATGCCTATGTTACATCAGCTTCTGGTGGACTCAAAAAATTACCTCCAGTGTATTAAGACTTGTATCTAAAGGGAGAAAAGGGAATCCGAGGCTATGAAAGGGAAAACCAACTAGAGGCTAAGAAAAGAGATGGAGGCAGCAGAGGGAACTAAGGAAAAGATAAATAAAGGAACCTAAGAAGCTGAGGTAGACCATTGGTTCCTCTAGCTCGGTATTATCTGCATCAAGGATGGAGAACCTATGGCCTTCACAATGCTGTGGGAAGACAATTCTCATCACTCAAGACCATTAGGCCATTCTGGCTGGGGCTGATGTGCTTTGAAGTCCTAGTAACGTAACCTAAGGTTTAGTAGTGTTTGGCATGTGCGTTGAAGTCCAGCAACGTCTGAAGGGCTGCAGGTTCCCATCCCTGTTCTATGACAACTAGCAGCAGCTGGTGCAGAATTTCAGACACTGGCTGCTCTCAGCCCTACCTAAGGATGTCAGGGACAGAACCTGGGGCTTCTGCATGCAAGGCAAGTGCTCTACCATTGAGCCACAGCCCTTTCTGCCAAGGTGGGTCAAAATGAGCAGGAGACAGGGAAAAGAGGATACATCAACCCTTGTGCATTTCAGAATCTGCTAAACTAGACTCTAGTCTTCCTCAAGTGAGTAAGAGGAAGGATAATGAATAAATAATATATCCTATCCTTCCTTCCAAACCCCTCCCATCATGGGCTCTCCTTCAAAATTTCCCAATTCCTCAATGCCAGTTGACGTTACCCTGTTCTACAACAGAATCCAGTTTTCTTCCAGGTTTGCTCAACCTGAAGTCCCACCATTATTCTGAAGGTAAGGAAAAGGAGCATTGTCCTGCAGTTCATAATGCAATCTGGGTTGGGCGGGAGGGAGAGATGAAACCGGCCAGTTCATCACCTCCTTCTCTGCGCTAGAAGTTGCAGGCTGGAGGAGAAGGAGATGAGGGGATTCCTTCTCTCCCAGAGAATCCTGTGCCTTCATGTGCAACACAGCAAGGGAAATCTTTTACTTGTGAGCTGCCCTAGCAGTAGGGAGTGAGGCCAGATTGCCTGTGTGTGTTGTGCTACACCTTGCTTCTCCTGGGGGTGCAATAATCTGGGGGTGGGAGAACCTTCTGGGATTCACATCACCCCTCCATTTAATGAATTAATTAATTGATATCCCACCTTTCGTCCAAGGAGCTCAAGGTGGTGTAGATAGTTCTCCTTTTCACCATTTATCCTCACACCAATTCTGCAAGGTAGGTTAGACTGAGAGTGAGTGACTGGCTTCATGGATGAGTGGGGATTTGAACCCTGGTCTCCCATGGTTCGGATGCATGGCTCATAGCTACCAGGAGCTGTGTGTCCGGTATTGTTGGCCCAATTTTATGGAACTCCCTTCCACCAGAGATTGGACAGGTTCCCTCCCTGTTGAACTTCTGGCATCTACTGATTTTTTTTATTATTATTAATCCAGCAAACACTTTTAATTGAAGTCTGGTTTTGCAATTCTAACTTTTCCTCTTCTGTATTGCATTTCTTGCACACTGGTTAGAGACAGCTGTAGTTCAGCGGTGTGCACAAATTGTTTTTAAAAAAAGAAGCAAAGAAAGATACAGTGGTACCTCAGGTTAAGTACTTAATTCGTTCTGGAGGTCCGTACTTAACCTGAAACTGTTCTTAACCTGAAGCACCACTTTAGCTAATGGGGCCTCCTGCAGCTGCTGCGCCGGCGGAGCACGATTTCTGTTCTCATCCTGAAGCAAAGTTCTTAACCTGAAGCACTATTTCTGGGTTAGCGGAGTCTGTAACCTGAAGCGTATGTAACCCGAGGTACCACTGTACTGTGACAAAGGTAACACTCCATTGCTCCACCCACTTTCTGCCCATGGCTCCGCCCACCACAGCATGTGGCCTCAGGCGGTTGTCCAAAATTAAATGTGGCCCCCAAGCTGTAAAAAAAAGCTTCCTCATCCCTACTTTATAATATATATTAGACATTTATGCTGAAAATTGAATTTGCATGTTCCATGCTAGACAACGCCCTCCCACTTCCATCCCTTCTCCACTTTTGGGTTTGATAAACTACTGTAGTAAAAATGGCTATTCAAAAATTAAAATAAAGGAGGAGATAGATATCGCAGGCAAGAACGGCATGCAGTATATAAAAAAGATTTGGTTGTTATTCAGATGCATGTACCTAAGTTTTCTGGTGACGCTTGATCCAAAGAAAGCCTCCCTACTAAACATGACATTACTGCAAAGTGAAAAAGATGTCATTGTGAGCGGTTAATGTTCACTTATGAGAATCTACGTGGAGTTAATTAAATGAGTATGGAAACAGGATTACTGGAGCGTCTGGTCCTTCAGCCCTGACCCAGTTTCTCTTCTCAGGAAGGAAGGCTAAAAATAATCACATTTTTACACTTACACCGTTGCTTGCTATATTGCTATCCTCCTTTCGCAACCCACACCTCACTGAACAAAGGAACACAGATTACATACACAAAATACTGGGAAGAGATGCAACATTAAGAATAACAGGCGTTGTGACATTGGGTTGTGTTCAGCAGAGGCCTCCCATTACCTCAAAGACTTCGGTTCGCATGAGGAACCTCCCCTACTTCTCCTTTCTCCATGCGCCCCAGCTCTGTCCTGGGGGTCAACACAACCCTCTGGGGAGCAAGGGGATAGCAGACTGAAGGGAGGGTTCACTGCCCAAGCAGAAGAGGTTTTGTCATGGTGTGCTTTTGGAGCAACTAGCTACCTCCTGAGATATTTGAAATAACAAGCCATAGCAATGGTTCCGAACCATGATCCCTCTCGTTCATCATTAGCATGGAAACCTCGTAACAGAGCACAGAAAAACAGGGTGAGCCTGCCCAATCGCCCTGAGCTGGATCATACCGATCCTTCTGGAATATGATCTCATAGAATCATAGAATTGTAGAGTTGGAAGGGACCATGAAATTCATCCAGTCCAATCCCCTGCAATGCAGGAATATGCAACTGTCCCATATGGCGATGATTACTCACATGCGGACAGCTCCATTGGTTAGATCATGGTGCTGATAATGCCAAGGTTGCAGGATCGATCCCTATACTGACTCCCTTCGAACTCCACCATTCTATGATTTGAGATACCTTCCCAGCTGAGAACTGGCTATGTGACTGTGCCAAGATGTATCCCCATCACAGATCATCATGTTCTCATTCAAAACACTTTCTCATGCCATGGCATAGCTGGTTGCTGCTTGGAGACTTGGGCTGGACCCAAAGAATTTCTTGCTCCTGTGGAAAGAATCTTTCTACAACAGATGGACTCTTTCTATTGCTGCAAGGACACCTTTGGACCTAACCACATGCTGTTGATGCAGTGAATGGCTTGTTCGGCTTGTTTTCTAAGAATCTATTATTTAACATTCTGCCACTACATCTTACATGAACTAAAGCAGATCATTGCAAATTGTCTCAGGTCCCATTTGAAAACAGGTTCATGTCAGACACCAAAAAACGAATGAGAAACAGCACACTAGGGGCTGGTTTTTGTAGCCAATGTGGGAATGGATGGAAATGTGGTCATGGTGCCATAACATTTAGGGCTGCTTACCATATAGGTCACCCTCACCTTGACCAGAAATGTGCACAGGTGACATGAAAATTCCACATCCCATAAGAGCTAGTCCACTTGGTAAGCGCTCTCATGCATTACAGCTGCTATGCTGTATCATGATCTAAGAATCAGTCCTTGACGCTGCTTATGAAAGTGGCCATAAATACATAATAATAAATAATAAAATTTTATGGGCCCGAAGCCAGGCTCAGAGCGGCTAACAACAGTAAAATATACAACATTCTAAAATTATTTCATTATAAAATCAGCTCAAATCAGATTAATGGCAACCATTGGGCTAGAGTTCTGTGAGGATTGCCAAAGGAGGGGGTCAGACTGTGCCTTGACCAAAGGCCTGGTGGAACAGCTCTGTCTTCCAGGCCCTGCAGAAAGATGTCAAGTCCCACAAGGCCCTAGTCTCTTCTGACAGAGCGTTCCACCAGATCGGGGCCACAGCCGAAAAAGCCTTGGCTCTGGTTGAGGCCAGCCTAACCTCCCTGTGGTCCGGGACCTCCAAGATATTTTTGTTTGAAGACCGTAAGGTCCTCCGTGGGACATACCAGGAGAGGCGGTTCCGTAGGTACGAGGGTTATCTGGAAAGAAATTCAGCAGGTCTGGGGAGAATTTAAATGAGCGATCCTAGAATCTGAAATGGCATTGCCCAGGAAGGTTGGAAGACAAATGTGGTACTATTGATATTGATACAAAGAAGTGGGAGCTGTAACAGAATATTGCAGTATGGAGTGCTTCTGTTCAGGGTTCGCCATTCTGTCCCCTATGATGTGGTTTCCTATTACTCCACCCCAACAATATCACCTGGTCACTGAGCTTGCTCCATCCTGACTGGGCAGCTTTTTGGAGGGTCCTCACCTCACTATCCTGCTGAGGCTTCTCACACACACACCCCTCAATATTCCTATTTACTTTACTCAAGGTTCCTCTAAGCCTTCGTTCTCATGCACGAATGGTGCAGTTTTGCCAGCACTCGGAGAACTGAGATTGCAATTGGCGGCTTTGATTTGTTCTCTTTTGCTTATTAATTTTTCTCACTATGAACACAACAAACAACGATAAATCAATTACGCTGTTGTTCTTTTTGAGAATTATTAGTACGCGCCAATTCATTAAAGCCAGCGCATGTAGCAAATTAAGACCATTCTGCTATCAGATCAAAGGTACTGATGTCCCTTTTGCTTAAAATAATTACTGCAACAACAGGTCAAATGCTAATCCGTGATTATGCTACCCAGACAGTCCGTTTTTTGTCATCTGGACAAACAAACAGACTTAGACTGCTCAAAACTACTTAGCCCATTACAAACCAGTTAAAAGTCACAATAATGGGGCTGGATTTGCATTCCTCCATTTGAACATACAACAAATGAATGCACGACCATAGGAAGCTGAAGATATTAATTACATACCTGGTCCCATCCACTGGCTCTTTCCTTTTGGAGAATTGAAAGCAATGGGAGAAAAGCAAGGAGAAAGGAGGTAGCTGTTAAATTTCGCAGGAAATGCCAAGCGTTAGCTTCAAGCCATGCAAAGGCATTTCTAAGTGCTTTTGGTCCTGCCACCTGACCCATAAGAATCCTACATGTGCTTCTCAGGGGACATATTGGTAAGCAATAACGTTTCTTTATAATGGGGATGTGGAACCTCGTTCCTCTCCAGGTGATGTTGGACTCCAACTCCCATCAGCCCAAGCCAACATGGCCGATGACCAGGAATTATGGGAGTTGTAGTTCAACCAAAGTCAGAGGTTTCCTCACATGTGCCCACACACCACATATTTCTTCATCCTCCTTCTCAGCGAACACAGTCACTTCCAGTCATGATCGCAGATCACAGTTCAAGGAGGCATTGCAGTCAGGCAAAAGCAGTCTGTGAGGGTGTGGCCTGGAAAGGGGCATGGTCTGGGAAGATTCCCAAGGGCCAGATAGGCCTGGAGGGGCCAGGAAGTTCACCGCCCCCAGTATGCATACATTGCAGTGTACACAATCTTCTCTGTTTGCTCTCAACAAAGCTGCCCCTTTCGTAACGCTCTGGTCTCCTGTTCCATAACCACGAAACAGGCCGTGCTGATTGATCTGGGAGGATGTCTCAAAGGAGAAGACTTGCCTGAAATATGGGAATGACACGATTGATTCATAAAACCTCCAAGTGGCAACGAGGTCCAGCCTATTGGGATTAGTAGCATAGTACCTCCAGGCAGCCTAAAGGGACACAAGAGGAGCAACATGGTTAGGAGAAGAAGGGGAACGACCGGAGGCGCATGTTGTGCCTCCGAGCAAATGCAACGGGTGAACGAATGCTTTTGTGCCTAGGAGCTGGACGGCGAGACAAGATGTAAGAGGTGATTTGGGTGCAGGAAATAGGTAGGGAAGGAAGATGCGAACGGTTCCTCGCCCGGCCTCCTAAGGCTTGTCAGAACGGCCCCGACCCCGACCCAGCCAAGCAGTCCGAGGTTTTAGGACTGTTTAGGGTCACTAATAATAATAATAATAATAATAATATATTTTATTTATACCCCACCCTCCCCAGCCAGAGCCGGGCTTAGGGCGGCTAACACCAATAAAATCACAGTAAAAACATAATGGGGGGGGACCAATTTAAAATACAGGTCAAAATGCAATTTAAAATGCAGTCTCATTTTAAAAGTAGCCAATAAATCGACACCATAATGGGAGGGAAACATAAGGGTCAGACTGAGTCCAAACCAAAGGCCAGGCGGAACAGCTCTGTCTTGCAGGCCCTGCGGAAAGATGTCAAGTCCTGCAGGGCCCTAGTCTCTTGTGACAGAACGTTCCACCAAGTCGGGGCCAGTCCTGAAAAGCCCCAGGCCCTAGTTGAGACCAATTTAACCACCTTGCGACCTGGGACCTCCAAAATGTTGTCATTTCTGGACCTTAAGGTCCTCCGTGGGGCATACAAGGAGAGGCAGTCCCATAGGTTTGTGGGTCCTAGGCCGCACGTAGGACAGAGGCACAGGGATCTGTCCAACTCTGTAGATCACAACATATTATCATTCCATGACATTCTGGTAAGAACATAGGAATATAGGGAGCTCTCCCTTGACCCATTTAGCTCACACTGGTTGGCAGAGGCTGTCTAGGGTTTCAGGCAGGGTGCATGCCACTGAACCCGAAAATTTGAGCATGCTAAGAAGATGCTCTACCACTGCAATCCTGCCCTTTCCACACACACAAAAAACCCAACCCATGACCACTAGGTTCCAAGAGGGGCACTGGTGAGCTTTGTCCCTGCCCCCTCCACCCCAAAAAATGCAAAAGAAGGAAGGCAACTCCTACCCCGCTTTTGCCCTCCAAATACCCCCTTCCCCAAATTTCCCCAAAAAGTTCTCATTGGAGAACTTTCAGTCCAGCCAGTGATCTTTTCTTCTCGTTAAAGCTGGAAGGGTTTCATAAAGAAATATGTGAAAGGCCAACCCCTCCTCTGTGGCTTCTCTGCCACGAGACCTGGAAGAGGGCAGTTTTCAAAGAGCTGTGAACTGTGTGTGTTTCAAAGAGGGCACGATGAATCCCAACCTGTATGAGTTCCGCTGCAGGCTTTCTTCTTTTCTCAAAATGTTTCTGGCGGTGTTGCTCCTGCACTTTCAGAGCGAGTCCTGAACCCAAAATGCCCTGAAAGCAAAGTTGGGCAAATCATCATCATCGTCATCATCATCCTGTTGAAAATGGAAATGTCAGACCGAGGGCAAAACGGGAGACAGCTTCTCCCTGGGGTTCGAAAATGGTGGGGAAGTTGGAACCAAGATGTCCTGGGCAGTGAGAGGGGCCGGAGTCAAGGGCTTAAGCCTTTATTGAGGTGCTCCTCCCCAGTGGTGGCTGGTGTGTGGGGTGAAAGGCAGAGGAGCCCCCATTGGTGAAACTAGAGCCTCTTCTGAGGAAGGGAGAGGATGAGGTGGATATCTGCATTGGGTGGGTTTTTTGTGGGGCGGGGGCTTTGATTGGAACACTTGAAATAGCTAGCCCCCTCTAAGGATCACCAGGAGTGACATCACCCGCCCCATTTCCAATCTGTTCCCCCACGCCTTCTCTCACGAGGCCACCGGCAGAACTTACAGCTGGAAGAGCAAAGAAGGAAACTCCAACGAGAGAGAATGTTGCTGCTATGAGGCGTCCCTCCCATGTTTTGGGCGTCTTGTCGCCATAGCCGATGGTTGCTAGCGTAATCTGTGGGGAGAAGGTTTGGGACAGTCTGTAAGAAAGACAAATGGGCAAGGACAATGATTTCTTGCACTTTCCACCTCCGTAATGCCACTCCTCAGTCCCGTACACACCCTGTGTTTAAGGCCATATCATTTAAACAGGCATGGCTCTTTCTCTCCGCCCCCCTAGCAAAGAATCCTGGGAACTGTAGTTTGTTAAGATGCAAGAGTTGTTCCGAGACCCCTGTTTCCCCTCTACAGTTCTCAGAGTTCCCTGTGATGAAAGATTGAATGTTAAACCACTCTAGGAACTGTGACTCTGGAAGGGGTCTCCTAACAAACCTCAGAACCCTTTGTGAGGAGCTCGTCCTACACTCCTGGCAGAAACACATGCCCGACTGGCATGTCCTCTCCCTCCTGGTCAATCGTTCAGGAGCTTCAAAAGCTTTCTTCAGCCCGAACATCACAGAGACCGATGCCAACAGACATCGGCACACTTAGGGATCCACAGAGTCTTCGCAGCTTGCGTGACAGACCTCAGCAACTCAGCATTTTGGCTAGTCTACTTTATTTACATATAAATGCACACGGAGCACTGCAACATGGCTCCCTCTCTCTCTAGCATCAGACAGCAAAGAGAAAAAGCAAAGGACAATAGTCCCACTTCACGGAACACAGTAACACAAACATCCTGTTTCCGTCACTTCCCACTCTGTGGAGTCAAAACATACACCATCATGTGAAAGGCAACAATCCCATGACTGCAATCACGGAGCAGGAATTCTAACACCCTTAACTACAGTTCCCAGAATTCTTTGGGAGAATCTGCAACTATTTAAAGTGGTATGATGCTGCTTTAAATGTTGTGCGGATGGGGACTCCATTGCTGCATCTTTTCAAGTTGGACTTCGCTTTACTTGACGGCCTCCACCATTTCCCCCATGCATGTGCAATAACATTTTCAATTAACTCGGAAGCTGTTGCAGGAAACACTTTTTGGTTCTTTTAAGGTACAGGCGGGCAACCTGTGGCCACAAGTAGCCTCTAGCTAGCCCCCCAACCTCGTTTTATGTATCTCCCCATCTCTGGTTTTCATTCCACCTAATACCAGCATGTGGCCCCCAACAGGTTACTCCAAGGGGATCTGGCCCTCAGCAAGTTAGAGGTTTCCCAGCCCTGTTTGAAGAGACTGGAATTGGATGCTGCAAGCTTCCATCATCCTCCCTTCCTTTTCACAATGCAACCCAAGCTGAATAACAGCAAGCATTAAAATGCTAAAGGACCCCAGAACATTCAGATGAACCACCTCAAAGCAACCTCAGTCAGCATAACCCCTGTGGATACTGACCAGTCCCCACCAAAGGGCATCGGCATAGGTTTCAAACTCCCTTTTTTCCTTCCCTTCCTCGTTTTTTTCAGGCACATCTTTCTCCACCAGGTAAACCAGGAATGAGGAGAGGATAAGGGTCAGGAACCCGATGTACCAGGCAGTGATGAGTTCCTAAGAGGGAAAGGCACTGCTGTAAGACAGAAAGCAAAGTTCCTGACTGGGCCAGGTCTTGGCCTCAGACCATGATGTTCCTAGTTCAGAAGACTCAATAGTTATTGCTTACCAGGGCGACATGTTTTGAGCATATAATTGGGTTGCCGTATGTCTGGAATTTCCCAGACATATCCGGAATACTGCAGCCACAAGCAGTTTCTGGGCAGAAATCGGCGAAATGTCAAGGAAAATCTGGACTTATGGCAGCCCATGTAGGCAGTGTCGTTTTTGCCGATTTTCCTCAGAAATAGCTCCCAAAAATGTCAATTTTTGCAGGAAAAAAAACCCATTTTTTCTGTCCAGATTTTCACTTTTTGAAATATGGCAGCCCTAGCATATAACACCAGTTATGGCCTGTGTCAGGGTGATATGTGGGTGGTTGCCAAGATTCCAGCCTGGGATTCCAGCGTGTCTTTACAAGATTTATTAAGTCCTAAACTATGTACAGTACGGAGCTCTTGAAAGCATGTCTGCCTCAGTCACTATCAGTTGCCGGAAGTGGCTCATGCCTGTTCCCCCTCCAGCAGAGAAACTTCCTGAGACCCCCCCCCCCCCTTTTCCTCCTCTCCTTACGTGAAAACCTAAGCACCGGAGACTGCTCCTTTCTCTCTACTATAGCAGCCTTTGTATCTCCCTCCCTCTCATTTTCCGTGTTTCCTGACAGTCCCTCCTCCTCTCCCTCTGACGAAGTGCAGCTGCTCATCAAAGGAGGCGGCTCTCTGTACATTCCGGTCTCTCCCCCCTTCTCTGCCAACTGATCCCTGACAGCCTGGCTGCCAATTAGTTTCTGGGCCCAATTCAAAGTGCTGGTTTTGTGAAGTTGATGGACTATATGGAATTGTCGGAAATGACTGGCAGAATCCGAGACCAAGGAGAAGAGTCGGTGGAAGAAGATTGGAAAAAGTTTAAAGACTATTTACAGAAATATTGTAAAATTAATGAATGTTAGAAAAATGTTGGAATGAAGTTATATGGCTTTAGTAGAAATGTTATAAGGAATTAAGTATAAATAGATTAATAGAGAATTAAAGGGAAAAATAAGGTTAAAATGTGTTAAGATAATTATAGGATAGAAAACAGAGGAAGATGGAAAGGAATTGCTGAAACAACTAATAGAAGTGGAATACAAAAAGGGAGGTGTGAGGAGGTCATGGAAATAAGTGAATGAAAGATAAGATATTGAAACTATTTGATGTGTTTTAAACTGTTTTTGTTTTGTTTTATTAGTTTAAATTGTTTTTGTTAGCTTAGTGTTATGTATTGTTTTTGTATTGTATTGTATTGTTTATTTTTTCTTTGTAATGTTTAAATTGTTGGAAAAGTAATAAATATTATTTAAAACAAAAAAAACAAAGTGCTGG